GGCCCCACAAACCCCCCGGCTGAGCGGGGAGCTGCCCCCCTCCATGGCAGCCCAGCTCTGCCGACACACAGACACTGCCAACCAGAGACAGCTCTGCCCACAGAAGGCAAACGGAGCAAGGCGGACATGCACCACTTGAAGAAATAATAGCAAGCCTCGCCACATCCAAAGCCACAATAAAACAAGAGTCTGCTGACGCCTTCTGGCAACTTTACACTGGTTTTTTTATGGATTCTTTGAGAAGAAAAAAAGCCCTGCCTTCCCTGCAAACTAAAAGTGCACATCAAGTTCCCTAATGGACCCTTCCTGCTCCTGCAGCGTGGGGGACAACACTGCATGCGTACGCGCATATCTGTGCGTGCAGCCACTGATATAGGAGGAGCTTATACTCTACAGCTGTACCTACATACATTTTAGGATCAAAAATGTGTCTGTTTCTATCTCAGCTGTTTTGCTGTGGCCTCTGGCAGGTTGTCCAGACAGTAATACTTAGCTGTGCACTTATACATCACTACAAAGAGGTATTGCCAAGTACAATACACAGGGCACGCCAAATGTTGTCATACATATAGCTGTATGTATACCCAGGTGCCAAGCTGTGTATATCAAGCACAAATTTGAAGCAGAAAACTGATCAAAAGACATTTTAGACTATTTTATCTAATGAGTGTTTCCATGTCATTGCCACCTTGTGTCCTAACAAATAACAGCTCACAATGAAATTAAATCCAACTGCATTTCAGCACTCCCAAGTATTTCATGTGCATCCCCAGTACCAAGACATTCACCCAGCCAGCAGTGACTGCTTTTTATTATGTGTGACAACAAGTTTCATCATAAATTTTACCAGAAAATACACAATAGAAAAACAATGCTAACTTGTAAAAAATGTTTCCCAATCCCAAATCAAATTAATGGTAACAAACAACAAAGAGAATGAAGCAGCTTTCTGTTCTTTGTGCGTGTAGCAAATCCCTTTTATGAAATGCCCTTGCCTGATCCCACCAGGACCTATTGTCATAAGGCGATGGTGAACACCAGAAGCCTGCTGTAACAGTTTTAGTTTATCAAACATTTTGTGGACTTAATTCAAACTCATTGTAGCCAAACAGAGGCTTTTTATTGACTTCAGTGTGCTTGGATCAGTGCCTATACTCCATAACACCAGAAATAACATTTACCTCCTTAAGAATTAAAGTTCTTCTGATATTCAAATTTCATTACCCTAAATCTTCAGATACTTTCTCAAACATATCCTTAACAGTCACAGTTCAGAGCTGCCTGTACCCATTAAGACTGCTTGACTACCATGCCTGTAAGGAAGAAGCCCTGAACCTTCAACTGTGCTGCAATCCCACATTTTCCCTCTGTTTGGACTGTGGCTGCTTGGGCAGCCCCGTTGGCTTTCAATGCCTGACAAGACTTCCCTTGTAGACACCAGTAGGAACAAAGTCACCTAAGTCAGGTTTCCAAGGCATGCTCTCGTGGAATCAAAATCTCAGTTGTGGGAAGCAAAGAATAAGGAGGAAGAGATTTTTAATGCACCACAGGATCAGGCTATGAGTGTCCTAGCCGGTCGCTGCACACTGTGTAAAATTTCTTCTATTTCTGCGGCGAGGGCTCAGTTTGCTGTTCTGAAGCCCAAATCTCGCTTGCTCGCTAGCTCTTCTTCAGGGACCTCATTTTCCATCTTGTTCTTCTCTGGTTTTCTGACAGAGTTCCTCCCTGCC